TTAATTTTACTGCAATTAATAGGGTTCACTTCTGATTAAGAGCCTGATGCCAAATACCATTTTTAATCATCTATATATTATATATCTTTATAAGATAAAGGCTTCTAAAGCTTATATTCATTAATTTTAAGAGGGCAATAGGGTAATAATAACATAAAATTCCATTTACTATGATATAGTATTTCATATTTGAGACTGCAAATTCTTTAATTTGTCTAATGATGGGCATAAAATATATAAACAACCAAATAGAATCAAGACCAAATAGAATCAATGCCCTACACACATAGTAAACATTTCAAACTGCTAAATATATGAAGTACAGTCAAAGCTTGTATTTTAAAGCTTTATGATTTCTGCCTTATTTTAACAGTAATAAAACCAAAGGTAAAGGATCACTTTAATCAGGGCCAGGGAACAGAAAAAGATTTTTAGAGGATGACTAATTTCAAAAACTTAAGGATAATAAAATGGCTTACTGAGAAGCTGATCCTGGAGTGTTTGTTTTGCTGATTTTTTTTAAAGTAGCAAGAAATAATCATCAGAGATTAAGTTATCACAGTAGAAAGTTTTCTGCTTCTTTGAGCTGTTCTGTTATTCAGCCTGAACAGTTGACTTTGCATCCACCCTAGTTTTGCAAGGTGCACCTGCCTTTAAAACAATGAATCCATCAACTCTTATGTGCAATACATTTTTCATCCTTTGATCTCTTATCACATTGTGTTCCAAAACATCAAAGAGTCTAAAGCTGTGTCTTGAATAGTGGCCAGACCTCAAAAACCACAGCACTGAGTTTGATCCTGAGCCCACAAAATCAGAAGCCTTGCAATCTCAGCCACAAGTCATTTTTTCAAACCTCATAAGTATATGCAGAAACGGTTCTTTTCTGTCAGCAATTTTAAGGCTTAAAGGATTAGATAAAAATCTATGGCTAAGTAATGATTTTTTTTTTTAAATCCAAAGGTCTACCTCCTAACTAGCCATTATCCACATGGTAGCCGGACCCTCCAGGATCGTCCCCACCCTAATGGGCCACTTCCTCTGGATTCCTGAAGGAGAAACAGGTTTGTCACACAGATTCCCAAGATAGTCCCTGCCACGCAGTGTAAGTCATTGCCCTTGGCCACCATCACTGCTGTCAGCTCTGGGTTCCAAATTCCTGCTCCCGGCTCCTTTGAACCCCTGTTCTTTGTCTTGCCTCCTGCAACTGGTTATTTTCTCAACACTCTGTTTACCCCAAGTGTAGAAAACCACCCCTTCTCCTTCACTCAACATATATTATTAGCATGTAGTTCCTTTCTCAAAGGTTTAAGGCTAGCAGGGTAATTAGAGTACAGTGCAGAAACAACTTCAGATTGACATCTACATATCACTACTATTAAAGGTCCCTCCGTCTTCCCGGTCATCTTTTTTCATCAGCACCTTACTTTTGCCATGGTTCTGGGGACCTTTCTTTCCCTCACTCCAAACCTTTCTCCTATCTTCCTTCTATGTCCTACTCCTGTCAACCTTAGTCAAGGGGCATTTCGTAAATTTCTGTTACTTTACGCTGGGAAGGGAATCTAAGCTCTTTTCTTTCAGTCTTTTCCTTCTATACACTGCCTAGAGACTTTAACCTTTCAAACTAACAAAAAAGCCTGTCAAAGTGTCTTCTAAACAAAAGTTTACTTTTCTTCTCTCTAAGGAATGTGCCATCTCCCTAGGTTATCTGGCAGTAGCTGCAGCCCATCCCTAAAATAATAATTTTTCTTTCCTGTTATGAAAACATACCAGAAAGTTTACAGTCAAATGACTGTTGTACTTTTCGAAGAAGCACCGTGAGAGGCTATTCACTCGCTGAAATGATATGATCATCATTCAAAGTGGTTTTAATTATCTTCTAAACAATTTACTAATTCCTCAAGAAAAATGGCTTACTAATATGTCTCAGGACAGTTTCTTTTGGTCCAATTCCTTTATCTCTGCTTTGATCTCTCATTCTCATTCCTACAATTCATTCAACCAACCAACCAATTAACATGCCAGTAGGTGTGGTAAACACAGTCCTAGTACTCAAGGCAATACTAAAAGGGCTGTCCCAGTGGTACCTATGAAACAAGAGACAGGGGGGTGAGGGTTCTGTGTACTTAGAATAAGTTTTGAAGTCCGGAGGAATGTTATCAAGCTGTCACTAGTTTATATGGATACTGTAGGCTTAAGAAGGAGAGTTGTTACCTGCAGGCTGATCATTTATGCCTCCAGTTCACAGAGATGCACTGTACATTTCTGTAAGTAGGCTACTCCTGCCAGTAATGCTGCCTCCTTCCTGAAAATACTACATGTAGTTGATGGAGTGTTTGAGAGTGACCTGTCTTAAATTTTAAGTGCTTTTCATTCATACATTAATTCATTCATTCGACCAAGAAGTATTTATTTACTATGAGCTTGAGGAGGACAACTGCATCCACTGAGTATCACATTCATTTATAATTATGTGTTAGGCATTGTGTTATATCAACTGAATAAACGAAGTTAAGAACTACCTGCTGTTTTATTATCACAATAACAGATCTTCATCATGATAGTTCTGAGTCATCTATAAAAACTTATTATATCTGTTATGTTATTCTGGAGGGGAGATAAGTATATAATACATTTTATTATAATAATCCACAAAAATAATCAATTTAACTCTCTGCATTTGAAGACTTAATCTTCAGCTATATGGAAAATTCAGATACTCAGAGAGATACTTCTTACTTCTTTTCCCAGAGGATTCTACAGAATAAAAGTTTACTCGATAATGTACAAGTCAATTTTTTGGCAACCAAATGTCTTAATTCCAAAATAATTTTTAAATGAACTTCCTCTCTGAATTTTTAATTTATGTTCGGTATACCACATAAAAGAAGGGAAACTTGCATAACTGTTTCTTACTGTTCCATTTCTGTAATCTAAGCCAATGCTAATTAAAGTTGTGAGGTATTAACAGTCTTCCTTTGGTGTTCTCCTCCCTCTCTCCTCAATTCTTGGAGAGCACTGTGAACCCATGATGTTCTGTGGCTGTTTAAGGCTTCTCCAGGTTACTATACCAGACAACATTCATCCCTGACTCATTCTTCAAATATATGACCATCTTAAGTCATATTCCTTCCAGAACTCAACGGCAAATGGGGCTAATCTCATAAACTAACTCAAGTGAATTTGTGAATTAATGATGAAAATAGTTTAATATGCTGCTGTTCTCAGAGAAATGAGTAAAACAATAGTAAACTAGTATTATAGTATTATACAAATATAATGTCGTAATCTGAGAGTAGGGAATCATTTTCCTATTTATGGTCACTGACCAACTATATCTAAAACTTTGAAAAAAAATCAAGGGTTACAAAAAAAACAAACCAGTTTGCATTTAACTTTAGTTCTTTAGAGAGGAAATGAAAATACTACTTGACATTTGTATGTAGTTTGCATTTATATTTAGTGTTCTTATATAACATAACATTTATATGTATGTTTTTTATTTAGTCTGATATTTAAAACCATGCTGTAAGTTCACATTATTCCTGTTTTATAGATGAGAAAAAGGTTCAAAGAGGTTAAGTTATTGACTACCTGACCACCGAATAGCAGAGCTGGGACTCTAAACAACTATTATTCCAAGTCAAGGGTTTCTCTACTCTGCCATAGCTTCTACAAATGTTCATGATATGTAATTTTAAACGAAATTTTAAAAAAGTAAAAAATACAGTAAGACTACATTTTAATTCCACACAGAGCCTAAGTTTAAAAAGGAGATGGGACCTCAGATGGGCAGGGAGAATGAACAAGCCAAGCAAGAGGAAAAAGAAAAAAGAGACTATGGGTCAGAAAATGTCAAAGGTACACAGAGAGACTGAATAAGGGAGGGGACAAAGAAAAAGCCAGACAGGTGTATCTGAAAGGAAGGACAAGTTGAAGTCCGAGCCCTGCGGGGTCCTCACTCCGTCTTGCTTCTAGCCAACACACCTGACTGCGTATCTCCTGAGCAGTCTGGCTCTGCATTCCTCCTCCTCTGCTCTGCTTGCCAAAAATCTTCCCCCATCAAATCTGCCCAGAGAGCTGTGGGCTAGTATTTCCACAGATCCCCAAAACCCTGACCTTATCTTGGCCTAATCACTGTAATTAGTTTTCTTTCCACTTGTCCAGTGAACAAAACTGAAAGCTATTCACTTCAGAAATCTGCATATCTCCTCTATCTCTGAGAATTAACGGAGACCCAAGCACTGACCTGATCCTTCCTAAAGTACCATGGGAGGAATAAGGCAACAAAGCAAAACCAGGACTTTCAGCACCTCAATAGTCAATGCCCAAACTTGCCTTATGTACACATTTTTCACTGAAAAAATTCACTATTCTAAGTTAGATACACAACAGAGAATAAAATGCCTACATATATTTCTAAGTTTTTGTTTTATTTAGTCAATTTGTTATTTAGATAAATTAGGTATAATTGCTTCCAAACTTAGATAAAGATATTACGTTACTAGCATTTAACAAACTTCCTAAATCACTGGTATAATATTTTAATTACAAGAACTGGCTTGGTAAATACTGCCTGAATTTGAATCTCAGGTTAAGCTCTTAGTAACTGAGTGACTGTAGGCAAATTACTTAGTATCTTTGAACCTTAGGTTCTCCATCTAGAACATGAGGCTAATAATACAGTATTAGCCAGAAAGGTAGTTTTAAAAATTAATGAGCTGAAAGCTTGAAACTGTACCTGGCACAGAGCAAGCACGTAATAAATGTTACCTATTATTATGTTTATTAGCCATTAATCTTGCCCCTTAGCTGCACAAAACTTAATTATAGTATACCTTTTTGCTTTTTTTAAAAAAAGTTAAAGTGATTATAGAAGTTTTAGAAAGAAATGTTTAAAAATAATCTATGGACAGCAATAAAAAAAATAAAGTCAAATATTGATAGTCATTATATGAAAATTAAAAAGCAGAACTCTGATCCTTTTACAAACAGCTTACCTCAAAGTCTATCAGCTGGAGGTCAGCTATCAGTGTCACCAGCAGCCCACTATTGTAGAGTTCTTGTGCCAGCTGAGCTACTGCTTCTGTGGGGGGTTCCTTGTCATTTGTACCACACAGAATTTCTTTCATTGCTTGCAGTGATTTCGACACTTCTTCTGATGCCTAGTGACCAAAAAGTATGGTAATAGTTAAAAAGAATAAAAATTTTCAGGCCACAAACAAACAAACAAACAAAACAACTTCTTGGATCCTTTTTATTTATATATAAAGATCATTGTACAGTTATCAAACAAACAAAGAACTATTTACTAGGCATTGCTTTTTTTATTTTGGAAAATGTTACTAAAACTTATTTATATAAAAAAGATTTATATAAAAAATATTTCTAGTATTTCTACTTAGTCAACATAATTGAAATAATCTTCCTTTAAACCATATTCATAGTCTAATTTTGCTAGTAACTAAATACAAATTTTATTCTTGAAAATTAAATCGACTCCAGTTTGAAGATTTATCAGTAGCTACTAATCTTTATTTAAAGCATTGTGTTATAGTTTTTCAACAAATCCTTACTCTTCTGATTTTTTTAATGGACCAGATATAAAATCGTAAGTTGTCAAAACTCATAGGCTTTGTCAATCCACTTATTCTTCATACATAATCATTGCTATCTATGAAACCTTAAAAAATTAACTATATTTTAAAGAATGATAGGCAATCCATAGAGGCAGAAAGTAGATTTGCAGGTGTTAGGCCCTGGGGGAGGGAGAAATGAGGAATGATTGCTAATAGCTACAGGGTTTCTTCTTGGAGTGATGAAAATATTCTAGAATTAGTGGTGATGGTTGTACAACCTTGTGAAGGTACTAAAAACCACTGAATTGTACACTTTAAATAGTAAATTATAATCTGAATTATATCTCAATTAAAAAATTTCAAACTAATACAGGTGGGAAAGGAGAGCGTATTAATTAACAGTTTAATTTTCTGACTGTTTTAAAAGAAATGTAGTTTTATTACTTTCAAGTATATTACTGAAATCATTATAGATGAAGAAGAGAATGAGTAGAATAAATCAAATTATATAAAAATAACTCATAGTGGCATGATGCTACTTTTAAAAAGTAATTTTCCAGATATATTCATGGTCTGACTGAATTGGTTAATCCTTAATTTATTAAAGACTGGAAGCTTCTTAAATTGTGAGACATATCCACAGAAGAGTGATTTAAACATACATACAAAGCAAACACTTCTGTGATCATCACCCAGGTCAAAACACAGAACCTTTTCCGCACCCCATAAATCACCTGCATGCCCCTTTTCCATATACTTTTTATGTCTTTTGTGACAATCATTTCTGTACTTTTCTTTATAGTTTTCTTACCTATGTGCATCCCGAAACAATATAGCTTAGTTCCACTGATTTTGAACTTTCTGGACTAGTACATGTACCCTTTATGATTTGCTTCTTTCATTCAACATTATATTTGTGAGATTTCTCCATGCTACTGCATACAGCAGTTATTTAATTTTCATTGCTCCGTAGTATTCTATACTATATGGCTATACCACAACTTCTTTATCAGTTCTACTGTTCACAGACAGGTTGTTTCCACTGAAGAGTTTTTGTGAACAACAATGCTATACACATTCCTGTACATTTTTCCTGGTGCACATGTGCAAGAATATCCTTGGAGTTTACACCTAGAAACTGATACTGCAGGATATTAGCACATGCATATCTTCATATTTCACAGATAATACTAAACTGGTTTCCAAAGCAGTTACATGAATGTATACTTTATCACTCACAGTGGAAGTTCTCATGGCTCTACATCCTTGTCAACACTTACTATGATCAGATCTTCTCATTTTTGCCAAGACAGTCGGTGTGCAATGTAAATTTACTCTGGTTTTGATTGGCCTTTTCCTAATTACTAATGAAAATGAGTAAATGTTTTTTTTCTTTTTTCTCTTTTGCCATTTAGATTTTCTCTTTTGTGAAGATTATTTTTTTTTTCTATTTAGGCCAATATTTGGCTCAATATTACAAAGTACACTACAATCAAAATAAGATATTTCTACATCCTTTATAGAATCCAAGACTGTATTATATATTGGGACAGAAAGATACTATGAATTCAAGGGTATTTATTTTATAAATATCTTAAATCTTGCCATAAACTAGTCACTTTAGAGAGAAAATGAACATGTGGTATTCAATATTCCTTCAAAGGAATAACCAAAATACTAAAAGGTCCTACCTGTGAGGAAGTCTAACTTACTGCATCTTAAAACAATGTGAAAATAATGTTGCACTGTAGTAGAAACTATCAGTCAATCTTTAAATAAAAGGTTTTTTACCTTTCATGTCAATGTAACGTTACACACCAGTATATCCCCTTAGATCTTTAAGCTCTGTAGTCTGTAGGGATCCATAGTTGGTCAGGGGCTCTAGATAGTGAACCATGAGTTGAAGACTACAGACTAAATAATTATCGGTTGCAAAAAACCTGAAATCAATCTAATTGTATTTACAGGGACCCTATGAGCATATTACAGACTATATGTGGGATTCTTCATTAAGCTTCATTAAGCTTTTCATTAGGTTTTGGTCTTGGAATACACATACATTAATAATAATGTTATTGTTTTAGCTCATACCTTGTCTGTCTTTTTGTCTTGCTTTTCCAAAATGGCCAGGTTGTCTTTCAGAATTTTCACAATTTCTGCTGGATTTTTGTGTGATTTACTAAACAAAGGCATTTTTTTCATGTAGAGAAAGCTCTTCTTCCAATATGGAATGCTAAAAGCAAACAAATAAGCCAATAAAAACCATAACTTTAACTCTTAGCATGCTTAAATTGTTACAACAAAATGTCTTATAAGTTTTCAATAACATCAATTAAAAGTGATAGAACTAAAATGAGTTTCAAGTTTTACGCCAAATTTATTTAAGTTTATATATAAACAAAATTTAAATTTAAATTTTTTTGTTTTTTTAGAGACAGAGTCTCACTCTGTCATCCAGGATGGAGTGCAGTGGCGCAATCACAGCCTTCTGTAACCTCTAACTCCTGGGCTCAAGAAACCCTCCTGCTTCAGACTCTCAAGTAGTTGGGACTACAGGTAGGTACATGCCACCATGCCTAATTTTTTTTTTTTTTAATTTTTTTGTAGAGACAGAGTCTCACTATATTACCTATGCATTTCAGGCATGAGCCACCATGCCCAGCCACATATAAAAGCTTTACCTGAAAGTTTTTACTCAAAGTTTAAAATTTTTCCTGAAATAGAAATACAAGGGTTATGCGAGAATGGGAAAAGAAATACTTTTAAAGAACAAGTTAATATTTAAAAGTAAATATTTAAAAATATTTTGACCAAAGAAAGTGATGATGACAATAATAAATGATAAACTAAAACATGTAAAACAAAAGTGGGATTAGGATTCATATACTGTTGGAAAGCAATATTTAAAAGCATACCACTAACTACTCAATGGCAATCACAAAATGACAATAAGAAATTATTTAGAATCAGTTCTTTACTCTTCAAATATTTAGTTGGCCACATTCACTGATGAAAAATCCTCTCGTATCCTCATTGCCATGGTGGAGGGTGAGGAAAGTAGAGAAAAGAAGTATCAATTCTAGTTGTTGAGAACATCTATTTACATGGAGCAGAGAAAGCCAAATATGCCTGTTATTGCCCTAATGTAAGTATTAGGGGAAAAAAATCTTGAAATCGAAGACTCCAGCTAATAAAGACAATCATTATTTTACATTAATTACAAAAATATTTCAAACGTCAAGGAAACATGTAAAAAATCAAAACTCCCATTACCCAAGCACCCAGAGATGACAACTATTATCAGTTTAGTATATATTCCCTTTGAATTTTTTCTATACATATAAAAATAAACACATTTTAAAAACAAAATAGAATAATACTAAAGATAGTAATTTGTAACTTTCTTCCACTTTTCATATCTTGAATATCATTACATGAGTGTATGTTTAGATCTACTATAATATTTTTATAACAATACTGTATCCCATTAATAAACACATCATAGTTTATTTTACCAACATCCTGTTGATGAATATTTGAGTTACTCTCACTTTTCTTAACATGTTTCTCATTAACAATGATGCAATTAATCAATGAAAAAAGACTATTATACACAAGCATATATACCAGTTAATAGCAGCATCCTAACCAGCTATTTCTGTGGTATAACCTTGGCTATAGTTCCAAATCCCTCATCTCCCTAGATTCTTGTCGATTTTCCCAACTCTGGTACTGTGGGATTTCTGCGATATCTGTGGGCTATCTTATATCCATCCAATAAATTCCTTCTATACAACAAAATCTGTATTTATTGTTTATGATCAAGAATTCCAATGGGAGATATATAGAGAGATATATATGTGTGTGTGTGTATGTGTGTGTGTGTGTGTGTGTGTGTGTGTGTGTGTATTACAAAGTAGAAACCAAAACTACTGGTGTGAATTTTGATAATAAAACAGAAAATTCTGAAAATATTTCCTGTTTTTAATAAGGATCCTGGGGTACACCCCAACTCCTCAATGTGGGATGGGTATGTGTGAGAGGAACTTACCCACTCATTCCAGTGAAAAGCACATTATAGCATCTCAAACAGCCTCTATATCTGACACTGAAAGTTGACAGAGTATTCAAAGATAAAATGGACGATGATAGTACTGTGGTTCTCAGTGGGTGGTATAGGGTGCAAAAAAGAGAAACAGCTTTGGAAGAACATTATGTCTCATCTCTTTATAAAGCTCAAGAATAAAATTATAAAGATGTCCTAGGTTTTTCTTTAATAATCTTTTCTCTAATAAGCAGACCTAAACATAAATACAGGTCGAATGTACTTAGAAGTTTATGTAGCATGAGGGTGGGATGGGTGCTGAAACAGTCATTAGACAGTTGAGCAGATCTAGCAATCTGTGCTTAATACCTGGTGATCCTGGACACATGTGACCTCTCTACAGCTCTACGTTCTTATCTGTAAACAGGGATGATAACATCTCCCTCTTAGGGTTGTTGCAAGGATTAAAGGTATGTAGAGCACCTTGCACAGGGCCTTGTACAATTGTACCTTATCTTTTGTAATAATATTATTATTATAAAAAGTTCCATGACATAGTTAATGAATTATTTCACTAAAGGCACAGTAGTTGAGATATGATTTCATCTTTTTTTTTTTTTTGAGACAGAGTCATGCTCTGTTGCCCAGGCTAGAGTGCCGTGGCATCAGCTTAGCTCACAGCAACCTCAAACTTCTGGACTCAAGCAATCCTACTGCCTCAGCCTCCCAAGTAGCTGGGACTACAGGCATGCACCACCATGCGTGGCTAATTTTTTCTATATATTTTTAGTTGTCCAGCTAATTTCTGTTTTTTATTAGAGATGGGGTCTCGATCTTGCTCAGGCTGGTCTCGAACTCCTGAGCTCAAACGATCCGTCCACCTTGGCCTCCCAGAGTGCTAGGATTACAGGC